CTTCACGAATTTTTTATAATAGTTTGTCAAACCAAGGAAAGAACGCAGTTCAGTAACCTTAGTAGGGATAGGCCAATCTACAATGGCCTCAACTTTTTTCGGGTCCATCTTCACCACGCCCGCATAAATAATATGCCCAAGGAATGAAATTTTCTTCTGGGCAAACTCACATTTTTCTGATTTCAGATACAACTGGATTTTTCTTAACTTTGTCAAGGCCAGCCTAAGATGCTCAACATGCTCCTCAAGAGTCTGCTATAAACAACTATGTCATCCAAATAAATCACCATGAAGCGGTCCAAGTTATTCGAGAAATACATTGGTCATCAAGTTACAGAATGTAGCTTGGGCATTGGTTAAGCCGAAAGGCATAACTAAAAACTCATATGACCCGTACCTTGTCACACAAGCAGTCTTTGCCTCATCTCCCTCTGTAATTCTGACTTGATGATATCCCAGCCGCAAATTCATCTTGGTGAAGAAAATCGTCTTTCTCAATCTATCAAATAGTTCGTCCACAAGCGGCGCTGGATAGTTGTTCTTGACAGTGACTTTGTTGAGCGCTCTGTAGTCTACACAAAGCCGTAAGGATCCATCTTTCTTTTCTGAAACAAAACTGGGGCTCTATAAGGTGCCTTGAAAGGTTGAATGAACCCAATGTCCAATAAACCCCCAAGCTGTCTCCTTAGCTCCGCCAACTCTGATGGAGACATTCGATAAGAAGCCTGGGCAGGGATTTTTGCCCTTGGAATCAACTCAATGGCATGGTCAATCTCCCGTCTTGGCAGTAACCTTGCTAGCAATTCTTTAGGTGCCACGTCCTTGAATTCAACCAGCAATTGTTACACTGGTTCAGGGACTTGCAATGCTTTTGACTCCTCTTCCTCAAATAGAACAGCCAAGTATATTGCTTCCCCTTTTCGCAAGCCATCTTTTATTTGCAAGGCATATAGCATTTTTCCTGAAGACTTGGCCTTAGTAAAGGGAACAAAGCAAGGATTAGGCATGTTCATCACGAACATCCCACGTAAATGCGGTATAACAGACACCTTTGCCTTTGAAAGGAATTGCAGTCTAAAGATTACCTAAAAATCATCGAGAGGGACAGCCATAAAATCACTTGATCCTTGCCAATCACCAACTTTTAAAGGGACTTCTCTTGCGACGCCGCCTACTGGTTTTGCCTCTGAATTCATAGCCTTAATCTGGCTAGAGTCTTTCACCAAAGCCAGACCAAGCCGCTGTACTTTTCGATCAAAAACAAAATTATGGGTTGCACTTGTATCAACCATTGCCTGGACAGTCACATTGTTCAGGCGAATCTGCACAAACATCAACCCCCTCTTTTCCACTATCTCCTCTTTGTGAATTGCATTAAGGAGTTGTAATGGGTTGACTTGTGTTGGTTCGTCAAAATAGTCAGTTTTCTCAGTCATGAGGGCACTGAGCTTTTCCTTCTTTGGGGCAATTTCTGGCACGTTGAGGGTCATTACAGATAAAACAGCCTGAGTCAGCACCTCCCTTTGATGAAGAGGATTTGTCAGTTGATTTTTCTGAATTGCCAAACTTCTTAGCCTTTTTCTTCTGCTTGTCCTTCTTAGGGAACTTGGCTTTCCCTTTCGACTCCTTCTCTGGAGGGTTAGCCTGTGTTTTGTAGTCAACCAACGTATCTGTTGCAGACATAGCAGCGGGTAAGTCCTTCACCCCTTGCCGACGAAGTTCTGCCTATGCCCAAGTTTGGAGACCAGACATAAAGTTGAACAACTTGTCTTCCTCTGACATATTTTTGATGTCAAGCATTAGAGACGAGAATTGCTTGACGTACTCCCTCACGGTGCTTGTATGTCGAAGTTTCCTTAATGCATCACGGGCATGCCAAGCCGTGTTGCTGAGAAGGAATTGCTCATTCATTTCAGCGGACAGAGATTCCCAAGTAGTAATTGGAGGACGAGATTTGTCCTCATAACGTGTTCGCCACCATAATTTAGCATCACCAGATAGGTACATGCTAGTGAGATTTACCTTCTCAGCATCCGAAGTGCGAACTGCTTTGAAGTAGTGCCCCATATCCCACAGAAAAATCTCGAGTTCTTTAGCATTGCGACTGCCTGTGAAAGGCTTAGGGTCAGAAACTTTGGCTTTCTGAGTGCTTTCACTGCCAGAAGCCAAAGAAGCATTCTGCAGTGCCTTCTTGAGCACTGAAACGTCTGTCTCGAGGGAACTCAATCTTTCCCCCATATCATCAGTCCATGTGGAGATTGTAGCCAGCACGTCAACAACTTCGTTCTTCACTCGACTGAAATAATCAGATTCAGTTTTTTGAAGTTGTTCATGTGTAACCTGCATCTCTTCAAACCGTTGATACAACAACTCAAGTTGCACAGAGAGAGCCACAGCATCACCGGACTGTGGAGGACCAACCAATTCCTCCAAACGTGCCACCCTTTCCCCAGATCAGCATTTGTTCTGCCAGCCATAGTTGATTTGTTGCTAAAATCACGCTCTGATACCAAACTGTCACAGGGTAACTTTTGTTTTTCCTTCGAGACTACCTGTGAAGGGGTTGTTACTGCAACCAGCCACACTCAAACTCAAGAATAAGAGACAAAAACTCACACAGAAGGCACACACGAATTTACTAGGACAAAACTCCCAAAACTTATATATTGAACTCAACAATTTACAAAGACTCTCAAAGCCAGAACACTCTCTTCCCCTCAGAATGCTCAAGCACCCCTATTTATACAGGAGTAAGGCAGATGAAACCCCCAATCTGCCAAGGGGTTGTTACACACGTTTTTGCTATTCCATAGCATACTAGGCTAGCAGGCTTGGTCTCCGTGCGACACCTGGCAGGAAGTTCCACCACTTTCAGTAACTGCTATGGAACTGCCCTTCATCAGCATGCATCTAGACTGGATTCAGACTAGGGACACCCAGAACTGCCTCAGCAACTGCCTTGACTGCGTCTCAGCATCATAACCGTTCATATCCTCCTAGTCACATGCATTGAACAACCATGTGTCAGTCAAGTGCCCACATTCAGCTATGTGCCCACATTCAACAGTCATGTGTCAGTCAAGTGCCCACATTCAACAGTCAGCCTAGCTACACGAACCAATGTGCATGCTAGGTTTAACCCATGTCATGCAATACGAAACTATGCACCCACATTGCTTCAATTAAGCCCACCACGTGTTGCCATGCTCAACCAGGTGTTCTCATACTGCCTTGGTTCGCCTCAATCTGTCGAACCACTTAGCCGCATCACCTTGATTCTAACTTATGGCATGCCTCGGTGCAAGGTGCCACCAAGACCGGTCATTTGCACCCAAGTCAGTTAGGGTGTGACAATAATAGAGTAATGCTATTTGGACCTAAAAATCTGATCTAATTCATTGTGACATTTGGATTGGCTGTAAACCCCATCAAACATTAGAACTTGATGTTGATCTAATGATTTCTATTAAACCGCATCATTATGTCAGTAAATTAGGTTAAATTTTTATATCCAAATAGCATTACTCTGATATAAATAAACTTCTCATGTCCTCCACCCCCACTACACATTCATCCACTATGTTTCTCTGTTACATCACCAATAAATTACCATTGTTATCCATCGTTATAAACTAAAGCACACCATCGTCTTTACTCGATGCACACCCAATGAACCACCCAATCACTATCAACCAAGTCACCAAAATTCTTGGTCGGGTGGGTTATTCTTTCCCACAAATTTTTATTTTCACCCTATTTAATTTTTTTATCAAATTATTAAACTGACCTTTTATATACTCACCACATTATTAATTAAGTTCATTCATGCTATATACACCCCTTATGTATATTTTTATGTTTTTACATTATTTGTTCTTTTTTGCATATTTGCTTATTATTATTTTTTTGTTCGATTTTGTGTATTTGCTTGATGTTTGTGTTTTTTTTCATATTCAATTTTACGTCTTATCATTTTACTTGTTCCTTAATCTTTGATTGGTTTTTTCCTTCTTGTTTCAGTTTGCTTATTTTTTTTTTCTGTTTTTTCCTTATTTTATTCTTTTTCTTATTTCGTAAATATATTTATGCATGCAAATTAATTATTTTTTTTTCTTACAATGACTCATTCAAGTGGTGCATATAAAATGAGTGAACTTAACTATTAAGAGGAGTGTATGTAATATAGGATGAATTTAATTACTAATGGGGGTGAGTATATAAATTATTAGTTTAATAATTTAAAAAAAAGAAATTAAATGGAGTAAAAAAAATGATTTGCAGAGTAAGAATAGCCCACCATTCTTGATCAATCAATTCTTCTAACCAAAGCCACCCAACTATGGCATGAGCATTTACATTCAACTGCTACACTTCTAATCAACAATAGAATAATAGCCTCCATTCAAATTCAGTAATCAAAAGAAGAAGAAGAAGTGGCCGGTGGTGGTGGTCCTGGGCTGTGAAGTCATCGAAGAAGATAAGAGAAGAGGGTGAGACAGACTAAGGGTATTTTGTCCCTTAAAATTAAGTAAATTAAACATATTTTTCTTAAACCATCAATTAGCATAATTAGAAAGTTTAGAGTTTAATTAACACAAAAAAAAAAAAAGAAAAACAAGTTCAAGGATTTATTGATACAAGAGTCGTATGATTAGTTTACCCCAATTTCGTGGCACATTTTGCTATTTTTCGTTAAAAAATATAACGGAGATAAGTAAAAGGGTTTAATTAACACAATTAGAGACTTCAGATGCTCAATTAACAAAAAAAATTAAAAATTTAATTAACACAAAGGATCATACCAACTAGAGTGTGTTCCCCAATTTGGATGGAATTAATAACAATAGCACTTTAATCTAAACGTATAAAGGGGTTACATGCTAATTTTTGAACCACGAGGAGAAGGGGGTGACGTACAAAGGTTGGATTTTAGCCAATAAATACATATATGGGTGGGAGTGGTTGCATGCGTGCGTTGTGCTTGTTATCACCACGTCATATCGCATCTCAAGAGGAACCAACTTCTCTTTGTTTAGGTCGAATATATATAGTATAATAAAATGTCCCATTGATCCATCCCCTATTATCACCCTAACAATTTGCGAGAGAATGATGGAGGAGTTGCAGAAGAAGAGTGGCGGTGGACCTGTTGAAATAGATGAAAGCAGTAGGAGAGAGTTGCTCTCTCCGGAATCCCAGTTTTTCTCTCCCACCGCCGACTTGCTCCCTCCCGAATCGGAGATGCTCCCTCCGGCTTCATGGAGACTCAACATCAACGAGTTCCGTTTGCCAGATCGTCGCTCCTACGATCAATCTTTCAGTTTGAGACGCCTCATTCGCACACGAAGTAATTCTAACCTCTCTCTCTCTCTCTCTATGTCAACCACCCACCCACCCATACACTTGCTAAGTCGCACAAAGAGGCGCCGAATATTTTCATTTATTGTCACTATGCAAGCGTTCTCTTAATCCTTTTCTTTTCCCGCTGATGTTATTGCAGTCGATACAAATCTTTCGTTTTTTAATTTTCTATTTATTGGTTTGACTCTGCCGAGTTGCCGATTCGGCTGATCAGGACAGAACTCAGCCATTTCGTGAATGTACTCGATTCTATATCTTCCCTCATTTTGCCTAGAGGAATTCTCTCTTTAACCTCCTCCGTTTTTATGCTTTGCTCTTTTGATATTTGAAGTCTCTCATGATCATTCCCACACCCTTTTATCAATTAATAGATTAGTGACTTTATCGTCTGACTTTTTTTTTTGATCTGCAACTCAATTAGGCAATGTATTTTGACTTTGCATAGAGAAATTGTGTCTTTTCTGGTGTGGTTTACAGATGTTGAAGGGTTCTTTGAAGTGAGCTATTTGGGATGGTCTGGAGTCTGGACACTTTGTGGGAATTTTGAGAATGGACACATCCCTGGAAAGAACGCCCCCTTATACAGAAAATGTACCTATGCATTTTCGTTTGTCGGATGCCAAAATAGGAACCTTTGAATTTTGCCAATATATGCGAGAGACGTGTACACATCACAAATATGCTCATATCATTGTCAAGAATCATGATTTTTTCCCTTGTTCATCAAAACTAGGTAGCTGTCTCTTGGATATATTTAATCCTAAGCTAGTTTTGTGCAAGATTGAAAAACTGTCTAGGATTGAGTGAATATCTTTGAAGGGGGAAGATTAACCTGGAACAGAGAATATTTGGAAAAGTTAGCCTCAATGAGCGAAATATTTTGAAAACATGTACTGCCAAAAAATTGATTATCAAGTTAGGATATGCCAAGGACTGTGCAAAATAGAATGGCTATTTGCAATTTAAAATACATGTTTTTGAAGTCCTAGACTCATAATGGAGTATTGCAGTGTAAACTTTATGATGTTGAGGCATCTCATTGATGTTATCCCTTATTAGATAGGGATTTGTTGTTAATTCTAAAACATATTGGGTTTTTTCTGTGCTTGTTACCATATTAGTGTGCTGGGATATTTGAAAAATATGCCTCATGACTTCTTGTTACTTCCTAGTTGGCATACTGGCTTTCCTCACACAAAGACAACGATGTATATAATGATTGTCACTTAACCTTTTCTTTTCTTCCCTCCTTACAACCCACCAGAAAGGAAACAGGTGGGCCTCTTATCCAACTGCAATTGGTGTATCTCAGTACTTGGTCAATTTTCTTGATAATGTTATAGTTGTAAAGATTGTAGAAGCTTGACAGGCTTGATTTCTGAAGACCCACTATTCACTTCTTTTCATCATTTTGGTTGGGGAGGCAAGCAAACTCATCTTCCAGGCCAATAGAGTATGCCTAGAAGACTGCTTCTTTTTATCACTTTTTAATTTCCTTCAAGTGCACAGGTGATATTTTGCTTTGGACCTGAGGCAGTACCAGAAGCTCTATTAGATTTGCTCTTTGGTAATTTGAAGTGATTCAATACTTCATTGTTTAAAGATAATACAAGAGAGGAATAAACTGTTCCACTATTGGAATGCAGTGTCAGAAAAATGGGGAGGGGGTGATATTTCGCTTTGGTCCTGAGGGAGTACATGAAGCTCTATTAGATTTCTCTTTGGTAATTTGAAGTGATACAGGATTTCGTTTTTTAAAGATAATACCGGGGAGGAATACACTGTTCCAACTATTGGAATGCAGTGTCAGAAAAACGGGGAGGGGGTGGAGGAACGAAAGTGATACTACATTTCTCTGGACGATGTCTTTTTTCCTGTCCTCTTCTTTTCATGTATTTGGCTCATATGGCTGCACTTCTGCTCTTATGGCCCTGTAGAAAGTGGCTTTGGATGTTTGGGTGAACAATTATTGCCAATGACACATTGTTGGATTATTGGCACGGGAGACGTCCTTATGTAGACTTCTTATCTGTTTCCAATTGCTGCTAACTATAGGTGGTTTAGACACCTCAATGAATATGTGGAGTTGCTATGGAACCAAAGATTTTGGGTTTTGTTAAATGTAGAGGATTAACATGATATTAGAGAGAAACAGAGAGAGGTTAAAACTTGACATAACTCTCATACATCACTTATATTTATAGTTAAGTTACAATAATTAAGAAAGACAAATACACCCTTTTATATTTACACATAATACCCTAACACTCTTAACAATTTTGCATATAATACCCTAGTACTCTTAACACTCTCCCTCAAGCTGGACTATATATATCATATAATCCAAGCTTGGAACAAATTACTGTAAGACGTGTACGACTCAATGTTTTGGTAAATATTTCTGTAAGTTGATCTTCAGATTTTACAAATGGAGTCGTAATCTCCCTAGCTATTATCTTGTCCCGAATAAAGTGACAATCAACCTTAATATGTTTAATTCTCTCGTGAAACACTAGATTGACAGCGATATGAATAGTTGTTTGGTTATCACAAAACAACTGTAAGAGAGGCTGAACTGGAAATCCAATTTCGATCGTAGCCAAGTTAACTCACTCGTTATATCCGTCATTGTCCTATACTCAGTGTCAGCACTGGATTTTACTACCACGGATTGTTTCTTACTTTTTTATGAGATAACGTTATCTCCTAAGAAAGTACAATAGCTAGTGGTTGATCTCCGATTAGAAGGAGAGTCAGTCCAATCAGCATCTGAGAAACCTTCCACTCTAAGATGTCTATTAGCTCGATATAACAGTTTAAGTTTAGGAGCACGTTTGAGATATCACAAATCTGAGTAACTGCCTCTCAATGTGGTACTCTAGGACACCCCATGAACTGACTTACTATACTGACTATATAAGAAATATTCGATCGAATAATAGTGAGATAATTGAGCTTCCCAATCAATTTGCGATATCGACCCGAATTCTCAAACAGTGCACCATCATCCATCAAAAGTATCTAATTCAGATCCATAGGAACATCAATCGGTCTGCCACCCAACAAACCTGCTTCCTCTAGTATGTCAAGTATATATTTTCTTTGGAATAAACAAATATCTTGTTTAGATCGAGTTCCTTCAATACCCAAGAAATACCTGAGTTTTTTCAAATCCTTAGTATGAAATCGATCTTGCAAGAAGATTTTTAACTTGACAATCCCTTCAGAATCATTTTCAGTAATCACAATATCATCTTCATAGACCACCAATGCATCCATCTGTCTATAAAACACAGAATGGTTTGTCTGACATCGAAGAAGACCAAACTCTAAAACTGCATTTGAAAACTTACCAAATCATGCCCTCGGTGACTGCTTTAAACCATACAAAAATTCTTTAACCGATATACATTCTTACCATACTCCCTCTAAGCAGTAACTCCAGGTGGCTGCTCTATGTATACCTCTTCAACCAAGTCACCATGTAGGAAGACATTCTTGACGTCTAACTGAAACAAGGACTAATCAAGATTAGCAACCAAAGAAATTAAGATACAAATAGAAAAAATTTTGGCAACAGGAGAAAAAGTCTCCTTATAAATCAACACCATAGGTCTGAGTAAAGCCCTTTGCTGCAAGTTGGGCTTTGAGACGCCCCACAGAACCATCTGGATGAAATTTAACAGTATACACCCAACGATAACCAACAGTTCGTTTACCAGGAGGTAAATAAACGAGATCCCAAGTCCAATTATGATGTAAGACATCAATCTTCTCCATAGCTTTCTTTCAACTCGAATTAAATAATGCATCCTGTAAATACTTAGGAATAGATATGGTAGATAATGAGAGAAAAAATAAGAGAAGACGGGAGACAAGGCATCATATGAAACAAAATGAGCAATGAGGTGATTAGTAACACACAAATGAGTACTTTTTTGAAGAGTAATAGTAAAGAACTAGGATCATAAGAGTCTAAATTAACTGATGTACCAGGATCAGAAGGAGGCAAGAAGACGTTACGAGCACCTCAGTCGATGGGCGAGGATGACGAGAGTATATACGAAGAGGTAAAGTAGGTGATAACACAATCGGCAATAGAATATCTGAAGATAGTGGTACAAGAGATGACCTAAAGTTTAGATCCAAAGGTTAAGAAGGTACTGAAAAATATGGAACAGATTCCTTAAATGTGACATCGACACTAGTAAAATATCGTCGCAGAGAAGGACTGTAGCAACGATACCCTTTCTGCGTACGGGAGTAACCAAAAAATACACATTTGGTAGCTCGAGGGTCAGTTTTATCAAATCTAGGACTCAAATTGTGAATATAACAGACACATCCAAAAACTTTAGGAGTTAGGAAAAATAAGGGTTTATTAGGAAAAAGAACAAAATATGGACTTTACCCATTTAATACAAAGGATGGCATACGATTAATAAATTGACAAGTAACAAGAACAACATCACTCCAAAAATATCTGAAAATATTCATCTGGAATAATAGGGCACAGGTGACTTTCAACAAATGACGGTTCTTGCGTTCAACAACACCATTTTATGTAGAGGTGTAAGCATAGGAAATCTTAATGCCAGTTTTACTAAGATAAGCTGAAAAAGGGTCAGATTCATATTCCCGAGTATTGTCAGAACGTAAAATACGTATACGAAAATCATATTTAGTGTTTATTTCCTTACGAAAGGTCTCAAATATAGAGAATAATTCAGACCGAACTTTCATCAGACATAACCAAGCCACACAAGAATAGTCATCTACAAATGATACAAAATAAGGATATTTATTAGATGAAATATTCTTTATTGGACCCCATCCATAGAATGTATTAACTCAAATAGACTAGACACACAATTATTGACTTTAAACTGAAATGACACACGATGATGCTTACTAAGTTGATAAGCTTTACAAGACAAAGACGATACATAACTAAGATTGAGAACTTAGCGCTTTAGATTCTAGAGAGAGGGATGTCCAAGATGACAATGTCATTGAAAAGAAGACAACGAGGTCTGTAGAGCCTGAGTAGGTGAATCAAAATCAAAATAATATAGGCCACTAGTTTCAAGTCCCGGATCACCTCTTCGTCTTTGAGATCCTGAAAGACATAATAAGAGGGATAAAA